CTTGCAAGGCTTGGAAAGACCGAGGTAACTTCAGCTTCAACCTTGGGTTTTTCAAAGCTTACCTCATTGTTCTATGCTGGCTCCTGGGAGTTTTTAACACTGCCAAGGCTGGAGCTACAAGGATGAAGCTAAAATTGTCTTACACTGTCTTTTACTTCTAATACCACAAAAAAAATACTAAATAACATTTTATTTATTGATGGTTGCAGCTTGCACACAGCTGTCTTTCTAAGTAAGTAAATGAAGATTCCTTCCCAGTCTTCTTTACCAATGAGCTACAGACTATCTAATTGTGACTCTACTGCTACAAGATGCTAGTAGCACCATTATATTGACCTAGCATAAGTCAAATGTAAGCAAAAAAGTAGCCTAGGTGGTGCTTCCCTTGGAAATTTTAAGCTAACATAACATAACTGCTTATTATTATTATTAATATTAAGAAGAAGAAGAAGAAGAAGAAGAAGAAGAAGAAGAAGAAGAAGAAGAAGAAGAATGATGGCTCTTCATGAGCCTGAATAATACTGTCACTTAATAAAACTGAAATTGAAAAATATTTTCCACCTGGGATGTCGTGTCTTGGGTGTTTTTTCCCCCACCAACTGCTTAAATCTTTTATTTACCGTCATGTAAAGGAATCTGTAATTTCTGTCCATTGTTTTGTTTTTCCTATCATTTTAGAGTCTAACTAGCAAGTGCTCCATTGATGCTCAATTGAGTCATTTGTTTACTTTTAGGTCACATATCACAAACTGCCACCTTGCATAGCTTGGTTGTTCTCAACTGTGTGTTTTTTTTAGACAAGTGGTCATACACAATTTTCCTGCATTTGTTGCAAATTCTCTGCTTTATTGGAAGTTGTTTAAGTAGCTCACTTTTTACTAAGTCATCACTGAGGTGTGCAAAACCATATGTGTACTTCATATAACATTGATATTGTGACATTGCACTTTTATATCACATAAAAATACTGGTTTTATTGTGATTAACTGACAGGTTTCTCGATAATGCTGTCTTAATAACTTAAGTGTTTACACAATCAGCATCTTTTTGCCAACTTTCCATCTTGGCTTCTACTCCAACATTTGTGTTGTTTAAATCTTTTTGTAGTTACCATTTATCACATTTGCTTAGAATAATAGAGAATTTTTTGGTTCAGTTTGACTTTCATGTTAATGGGTAGATAAATATGCTCATATATAGATTTGCAGCTCTGCTTTATCAGCCAGGGCAGTTTGGTTTGGTAACAAAAATACATCTTGGGTATGTTGAACTTTCTCCATAGTGCAGGCCCCTGGTGATGATGTGAGTTTAAGAACAAGTTCTGTAGGAGGAAGACATTAAATCAGGAATAGGAGGAAGGGAAGAAAGACAGAAACTATGTATAGAACTAAAACGTCTTTGAAATAGACCCATCCCTGTGGTCAGTTGTTATCATCGCCTGTTGAAAAGCATCTCTAGGGAAGCAGGAGGCGGCCATCACTGATTCAATTCCAGGAACTGCATTCTTCCATGAAAAGGTTTTATTATAGATTGGCTGTCTACTCATTTTGATGTACTCACTGTACAACTAGAATCCCGCTATTTAAGCATTATGATAGAAGGATGCACTCTGTTAGACCAAGCATATACAGTTACCTATTTCTAACATACATACATATATATATTTGGCACAAATGGTGATAAATAAACCAAGTTTATTATACCTTGTAGAGTTTTGCCAGTACTATAGACTCTTCAGATTGCTATGTTTATCTAGTGCATATACACAAAGATGGCATACACACACTGCCAGTCATTTCACACCATTATTATAGTAATGTGCAGGAAAGAAGAAGACTTCTACTAAAGAAATACAATATAAAAATGAGATAATCGACACACAATACACTGCTGTATAAATTTTGTTCACAAAAAAGGAGGGAAAATCTATCCTAGCATTGCTTTTGTATTTGTTGTGTCTTTGTGATACCACAAATGCAGTAAGTACAGCTTAAAATAGGGGTACAACTCTGTGACCAGTCTTCCTGTTAAGTGGGTGTGTTTGTGAGGGCAGACCTGTGAGATGATGTATCTATTCTTAGAGGCTTAATGCATCTCCTCCCCTGGGTTGCTTTCCCTTAAATTATTTTAGCAGTGGATTCTGTAAATGGACTACCCTCGGAAAGGTTTAAATATTTATTCACTGAGTTGTAAATTTAACTGAGAATAGTACCATTGGTGGGTATTTCTGTCTCTTCGCATCAATAAAAGAAGTAAATGGATTTCCCAGTAAATGGGTTTAATTGGGTTTGCTTGAGATTTTCCACAAGCTATTTTCTCCAAAATCCTTTCAGCGAGATATCTATTAGATATCTGAATCCAAATGTTTGCTATACAAAAGAGCAAGGTAGTCCAGTTCTTATATAAACAGGCATGTAACCATAATGATACAGCTTCCATTACTCTCTTTAAGCATATAAACAGACACTCGTTGGGCTCAACCATTCACTCTTACTGTAAATAAGGCTTATACTGCCCAGTTGTGCATTACAGTGTATGACAATTATTTAGAAAATAAGTAATATTGGAAAGGTGCAGCAAGCTACACATAAATGTACTTGAGGAATATGCTGCAACCCATGTTTTTCACACTTTCTGCATGTATCTAAACCTCCTTCTCGCAATCTCCAGACATGTCAAAAAGGGAAGCCATTGTAAAGTGTTTTACTGGTCTTTAGCAGAGCAGCACCATCAGTCTCAGCCCCTTATAAAACTGTTTTTAAACACTAGAAAAGAAAAAAAAGGTATAAGAAGATGTGAAGACAAGTTGCATAAACAATAGCTAATGGGCAGAAACCTCAAGACATACATGCCATGATGCAATGGTGGTACTATTGAACACTGGTACTTTTTACATCTACAGAGTGCCATAAATTAAACAAACTGTATATTCACATGCTTATAGAGCTTAGCAACAGCAGCTGCAAGAGTAACTGTGGTCTGGCAGTTGTGCAGGATTCTCTAATAACCCATACTCTGTGGTCTCGTCTCAGAACCAGCTCTATGGTTAGACTGGCAGAGAGTAGTATGTGTGTGCACTGGTATACATGTTTATGTGTCAGTAATAGGCGGTCAGAAGCACTGCCCTTATCGTCATAGACCCAGTTTAACAGAGCTGATTAGATTAAGAGTTGCATGGATTCTAAAACGAATGACTACAAACTGTACGTCCACGTCGAGTCAGATAAGTGTTACATAAGAACATCTGACAAAGTGAATTAGGAAGCGCATAGATTTAAATAACAAGAGAGAAAAACAAACAGGAAGTTATAGAGAGGTATGATACAAATCAAAGGGTCAGACAAGCACATGTAGATAGATGACCTGCTGAGTGACGTGTTTGACTGCCTGCCATCACTTCTTCAAGTTCAGCCTGTGTAAACTGTGCGCAGCATTATTTACGTGCACTGAATACCACCTCCCATACCCCACCCCCCATCTCCACCTCATCTCTGCTAATCTGCATTTATCTGCTTTTAGAGACACAAAGCTAAATAAGGAGCCCACTTGAGTCAGTTTGAGTATTCCCAAATCTTTTACAATTTATTGGTATTTGTAGGATTCAGACAATAGTTGTTTCACACCTTTTTAAGAATCTCTCAACATCAAAGCAATCTCAAGAGAAGGAAAATAACAAAACAAGCTCGCAAGGCATCTTAAATTGTTAAATCACACAACTTTCACTGTGATGTTGGAGTAACGGTCAAACGGGATCGTCAATTATTGCTTGCATATTTTCAAGTCTTCAATAATCAATGTCAGCATCAGAGTTTCTTCATCTTTTCTTTCAGTTTCTTTGGAATGCAGCATTTGCAATGCATTATGCATTATTTTCTAACTCCAACTCTACACAAAAGAACTAATTTCATACAAGATTAGTTCTTGTAGCATTTTGCAATTTAAAATGCTGCTATTTTACAAGATGTCTGTTTCTATTTGTATGTCCTATTTCTGGATTCTTTCAGTTTTTTCCTTTCAGTTACATACAGTGTCTTCCAACATTTTGTGTCCATGCCTGCACTCTCAGACACACACACACACACACACACACACACACACACACACACACACACACACACACACACACACACACACACACACACACACACACACACACAAACCCGTGGTTAAAAAATTCACATGGCTTCAGTTAGTGGGAAAAGTATCACATCCAAAGTAATAACACAAACATGGCAACCCAGAATGGCCCCAAAGGGGATTGGCACAGAACCTAGTAAGCCATTCATCATCAGGCTCATGTTGCTATAAGTCTGTACCGTGCCAGTTTTGGTGACTTTTGTGTGACTTTTGTGTGCGTAAATGCATTACATGTGTGTGTTTGAGGGCACTGCACAGTGCAGCAGAGCAGAACAGAAGCTTGAACAACATTAGGAAGGATTTGCATCTTTTAAGATCACAATCCAGTTACAGTAATGAGCAAAGCATACTCTGTGAATATGTGGATGTGACCATGCGGTAACGCTGATGTGTGAATGAACAGAAGAGACGGGAGGGAGGCAATAAGAGGTAATATTACGAGTAGACACTGAAAGGCAGGGAAACCAAGGGACCATCAAGTTACTTGTTCACGCAGAGGGATTGATGCCAAGACTTGTGTGCCAGAACTTTGATTGCTGCAATTTCAATACAGACACTCAAAGTGAAGTGGAATGTAAAGAAAGCGAGAAAAGGTTTCATGTGTGGTCGATACATGACAGATGGCATATGATTTAGCTGAGCTGTCTTGGGTGTGGCTGAGGGGTTCAGTCAAGAGGGGTACAGAAATGAAGAAAGGTAGTAAAGACATGTTGATAGTACAAATAGCACAAGGGTTCTGAGAAGAATGACTGTATGTGGTTGTGTTGTCACAAAATAAATATATGCTGTTTTATCACCCTGAAGACAATGCTGGTTATCCACATTTAAGTGTATGCATGTGTGTATGGGCACTTTAATCTTACCCTCGAGATGGTGAGGGGCATGTTGAAGTCTTTTCCTCCCTGCAGCCTGAAGCCCCAGGGGGCAGGACCTATGAGAGTGACATTGTAGTTGCTGGTCATGGTTTCCTTGTTCAGTGTTGATCTGGCTCACAAGTGATGCTGATGGCCGGAATATATTATGCAGATCAAGTGACAATAAAAATATCACTAGCTTTTGATGAGGGGTAAGATTTTGATCCAAGATCTAGGAAAAGACAAGACATGAAAGACAAGCAAAAAGATTTGTTATTGTGCAGCAATGATAGATAGATAGATAGATAGATAGATAGATAGATAGATAGATAGATAGATAGATAGATAGATAGATAGATAGATAGATAGATAGATAGATAGATAGATAGATAGATAGATAGATAGATAGATACTTGGGCATTTCCTAAGGTTCAGATCATATGCAGGTAGAGAATCATTAGGGGGTCCACTGTCCCTCGTGGGGGAAACTCCCACAGGGCTTAAATCTGGGACTCTCCACCATTTGACCCTAGAACTGAAGAAGCTTCTCGTTGAGAGGTGAAACGTCAGCAACTTATATAAGTCCAGATGCTTTTCTTTCCAAGCTCCTAAGACTATGATGACCTGGATGACTGAGAACCTTCACAGACATCATACGCAACTGTAAAATCTCTGCTTACAGGCCATTTAGGGCAGCACAACGCCCCAAATCCATGATGTTCCCTCTACCATGCCTCACAGCTATGATGTTTTATTATTGGTGCAGAAACATTTGCACATTACACATTTGCCAAACATTAAATGAATAAAGATAAAGAAAATACATAAAACTGTTTATCAAACTGTTCATACAATAGTTTCAAACAGTTCACAACTAAATTCATAACTATGTATTTGAATAAGTCCCAAAATTACCTTTTTAGACTTATTCGGTATAAAAAAAATAAACACATTTTAAGTAAAAATAAACAAATAAGACATCAAACATTTTACAATCAAAATAGAGTTAAATGCTTCACTGAATGTTATTTTAAACCACCATACACTGGAGAATGCTGCAGTTGTTCAGTAGCTTAAAATATGTAAATTACCCTTCAGGAAACACTACCAGAAGACCTTCACACACCTAAATGTTAGTAATAGCATATTTCCTGCTGAAATTAAATGAAGGTAAATGCTATACCTCTTTAATGGAAATTCCAGAAAGGAAAATAATTCCTTCACGGGCAGGTGGACTGTGCAAGTCCTAGTTTCCCCTGAAATATTCCCTTCCCAGCAAACACACTGTGTGTGTGAGAGAGGTACAGAGGGATGTGATGCTCTTATATACTAGTTAATGACAGATGGGAGGGGAAAGGTGGAGGAGGGGAAAGAGGGAGGCGAGAGGGAGAACGGGTATAGGTTAGGATGAGAGGGAAGAGGGAGGAGAAAGAGGAGGGGAAATCACCCATGGGTGGAGTGAGACGAACACAGAAGAGGGGTGAACGAGATAACATGAAGGGTGAGATTGGGGTATGGAAGGAGACAACAGAAGAAAAAAAATCAGGTGGCGGGGGATGTCGGGGGGGCAACAAGAGGGGAGAAGAAGGGAGCAAAGTGGAGGATTAAGGAAAAGACAGTGGGAGCATTGCGCACACAGAGAAAATGATCAGGGGAGGAAGAAGAGGCACAGGAGAGGGGACAGTTTATCTTTCATCCAGATATTTTGGGAACATGGACTCAGTCTTGCAGGCAGCTTCGTTTAAGGTGGAACCAGTGTAACCATATCATGACTAGGGAATTCATTCCAAAGGCATCAATGCAAAGGTCGCTCAGGGGTCATTTAATAATGGCGACTGTATAAGGTCAAGATTGCCTTAAGTCAGTGTGTGATGGTTGTTTAACAACTGCCACACTGTTGTTTCATTAGAAACAATCTAAGAGAAGTAGATATTCATCCATGGCTTTAAATCTGTAAATCTACTGTGTTTTCTGTGACCTGCATCAACTTCCCCCGCTCTAATAATTAGGCAAACAAGCTTTACCAAACTGAGCACTAAATTACATAATCTATACTATAATCTCAGCACATTTTGGAAAATAGTTATAAATATTTTTCTTTTATACTTAAGGGATAGAACTCCTAAGTGCAGCACACTCATTCCCACTTATTTATTTATCAGTACCTCCATTATTTATGTCCAGACAGCAGCAATTTGTCTCATTCTGAGCTGGCTTTTGTCCGTGCCCCCTTATTTTACCCCAGACAGATCAATATTGACTTTATATTTATACTGACATAGTAGTGGCTCAATTAAATACTCATCCCATTCCTTTCTTGGCCTTGACCAAATACACAGTCAGCACATCTTGCCAAGTCATAACTCTGGTTGTGGCAGTGGTAGATACAGCAACCATAGGCCACAATCAAAAAATGACTTCTCAAAAATCAACAAACATCAAAGCAGAGGAGGGAAGCTGAAGTGTGAGAAAAAGTCTTAAGTCTGTTGGATATAAAATGGGCATGGAAAAGTGTAGGCGTAAAGGGTCTAAAAGACTGAAAAAGAAAAGAGTGTAGATATCTCAGATGAAAAGACCAAAGGATGGAGTAAACAGGCTAACATTTCACATATAGTATGCCGTTAAACACATACGACGCACTCGCACATAAAAACAAGATGCTTTTCATTATCCTGCTAATAAACATTCCCACATTGACAGCGCATACCTCTACAGTACAGCTAGGAAACAAAAGAGCAGCTTTTCCTGGGAGGACCAAAGATGGAAGAGTCATTAACTTTGTTTCCACTGCTGAGCTGAAGCTTCTTGATAGGGTTAGACCTATCCTAAGTTTTACAGTAAATCTAAAGGCACTGTGTTTACTTTAGGCTTTATTGCAGATGGCTGATCAGGCATTATGTGAAAACAATAATATAATAGCATCCTTATGAGTAAGATGATCAGATAATCAGGAAGTCCTTGTTTGCCTTCTATAAAGTTTTCCCAGACCTAAAGTAGTGCAAACTGCCAAATAGCCAGTGTTATATCCTAAAACAATCAGCCACAGAAACACTAACAAACACATTTTGTTTTTTTCCTTCTATCAACATATTTAACATGAAAGTTCATTCATGAAGTAAAAGGCTAGAGATTTTTTGCCCACAGATGAAGGCATGGTGTGTTTTGGGCATTAAAGTAGGCAACAAATCAGCGTCGTGACAGATTGATTATGACTGCAAGCTAAGCATCAACCACAACAATGAGCAACAACCAGTGTCTTCATGCAAGGCTCAAAACCATTTGTGCAGGAGCTTTTTAAAATCTCTTTATGGCTTGACTGTGGACTGCTTCCTGTAAGGTAATAGTATTCAGCAGGCTTACAGCCACTGTAGGAACTAATGCTTAAGAATTACTGTACTGCTCATTTTACTAGTTTTAATCTACTTTTTAAAGAAATCTGTTTTCTCATTAAAAACCCTCAGATCACATATGCACTTTACAGCATGACAACACAAAAGTGTGTTTTAGGGTAGCCATTTTAATCTCTTTACTACCAAATAAAGAAATATAAATGAAAAAATCAGTTTATCTCACTGGCTTTGTACCACTGTCCCATTCTCATGTAACAGGACGACTGGTATTGAGTCCCAGGGAGATATGCTTTCTAAAATCTAGACCCATCGGTCTAACTCACTGTTTAAAGACATAAGATCAATTGCTTATGCTGTCAAAAACTGTAACACAGAGAACAAAGGGGATTTGTGAGCTAGAGAATAATAATATTAAACACTAACAATGGTGAGTGGTCTAAAGCACGAAACCTCAGACACCCTGCCAGTCTTTTGTTCTGTCAAATGGTCTATTCCAGTCTCCATATGCTCACCTCTCCACATGCTTAATGATCACAGCTTAGCAGCCTGCAGTCAAACACACATGCTCACACCGAGACAAGCTCCACCCTTTAATGCTATCATAATCTGCCCTTCTAAATAACATTTAATGCATCATCCATGTGAATAAAAGAGGGACACCAACCCCATAGTCTGCCAGCTGCTGCCCACACCCACCCACCCACACACACATGCACACAACCCCAAGGGACACAACATACATAAAATCTCTATTGTGTGTAAACCTAATGATTCTCATCCAAACTAGGGTCAGCAGAGGTCTGAATACCATTAATTATAAATTAGTTTGAAGCTCTTTTTTGTCAAATATACAACACCCAGATTTACAGTGAACACACTATAAAAACTCTATATACTGAACTGCAATACTATTCTATAAAAATGGGTGAACTGAAAAAAATACACAAATAACACTCTTGTGGCAGCTTTGTTTAGAGTAATTTTTTATTTTTTTTTTTGTTCACTTTTATATTTCTGAGGGCACTTGTAGCTCGAAATCCAGGAAGGAACGGTTACACTGATTACTCCATATCCAGATTTTTCACTCAGAGGTGTGTGCATGATGACACTATTGACATTTTTTCTAATATGAACAGTATTTGTCTCTCAACAATCTAATCACTCTGACCCTTCCAGACTGCTATAAGCCTAACTAATCCCCTCAACCCATTTCTGTACTGTCATGCACAGTTAGGGTTAGAGTTGCATTTTGTATAAAAAAAAAAGAGAAGTAGAGAGCAGCCTGAACTCTTATGAGCTTATTGTGAAAAGCCTGTATCATCGGTCTAAAGCGAGTCACTGTTTAGAACTGATTACATTCACAGTGGAAAATATTCCTCCCTTCTGACCAGACAGACAGAAATAGACAAACAAACGCACTGGGATTCAGAAAGCTCAGCCAAAATGATTGTCCACCCGAGGAAAGATAAACTGAGAGGAATCAGGCATGAACACACAGGTCCACGCACACACTTTCCCTCTCTCGCTCTCTCAGACCGCAAATGTGCACGCAGAACTCCTTAATGCCTGGGTCAAGTCTGGGTCAATAAAAGAGAGGCATTTAAAAGCCAAGTGTAATGTTGCCTCAGGGACACCAATTTCAAACAGACCACGCACCACTTAAGATTTTTGGGATCAGCTGCTCTTGATTACTCTGGCCACCTCCTGTTCTGAGGTAGAGTGATGGACACTACGATTTGTGCCGCATCACGCTCGGGCATACATTTCCATTTTTGCACATGAATCAAACATAATGGCCAGTTTCGTATGACGTTTAATGAGGACGTTTATGCGCCTCTGAAAATAAACCTTCAGCTTTCCTTCAAGCTGATGATACCCTCACAGCTGGTAAGACTGTCAGCTGAACCAAATCAAGTAGGGTTTTTTTTTTCTTTTTCTTCAAATACTGTTCTAAATAAAAACAGCTTACCTTTACAGAAATAAGTTTCTTTAAACTGGAAAAACATATGGGAACATCTCAGAAAATAAAGAAAGAATAATACAACTTTTAAGCGACACTATTTCCACATTTGTAATTGAAATTAGCTTTAAAGTATAATTAATGTCTGCCAACACATATTTTTTTAATAATTTCCTCTTATTTAGACATATCAGATACTTCATGGCAGTATTTACAATAAGCACAAAGAAATACGAAAGGTCATCACAGCTTGAACCATTGCAGTATCTCCTCTAATATGTGTAAATTGTAATAGAGAAATACTTGAGCATGATATTTCCATCCCACGGTGTCAAAGGTTTTGTGATTTGACAGCTCGTCAGTCTTTCATGATGGAGTTGTCTTGTTCAGACAGCCTTCATGATATCATGACCTCAATGTCATGACACAGGTCTTGGTGGATAAAATGAATTATGGATGAGTGATGCGCTTTCTACCACATTTAGGCAGCTATGCATCCATAACTCCAGAAGCACACACAAGACCCAGAAATGCACATACACACACACACACACACACACACACACACACACACACACACACACACACACACACACACGCACGCATGCACTGCATATTTGGTGCACTGAGTAGACTTTCCAGTGCTTTACTTCCTTCCTCTCTAGTAGACAGCAGCTGTTCTGTGTTGACTGCAGTGAAAGAGGGAAGAAATAAACACAGGATACAAAGAAAAAGAAGCAAAGGAGGGCAGATAAGGTTACACGGAGATGGCAAAAGCTGAAGAACTTAAAGCCACACTATCATTTAAATGAATCAAAACCCGTATTTAATATTCAGGATGTAGTTGTTTGTAACTTTGCAATGATCCCTCAGACTTTTACACTATGGAAGTGAAGACATTTGTGGAAAATGAAGACATATTTGGCTGGCCCTGACTTTAGGTAATTCCTGCCAAGGGTTAAGATTGGTTAAGGTTGGGATGTGCTTTCTG